TGCAAGTACCCTCTTGTTTCTTTACTTTTTTACAATTTAATTCCTACTACTTTTTCCATTTTTTAATGTTTTTTATTTACTTGTTTCCATTCTTTTTTCTTAAATTAATAAATTACATTCTGTCTTCAGTGTTTTGATTATGTGGTTAATTAGTTTAATCATTTCATGCTAATCACGTGCGCATAAATTAAAATGGCGTCAAACCACAAACCCACGCGGTGCTCCAGCTGGAATTTGTTTCCCATTGTTCTCTGTAGTGATGGGCGATATGGCCAATTTTCTTAATTTTCGATAACGATCGATAATGGACTTTTTCAGGAAATATCGATTATTAACGATACGATAACCACACCTTCATTTTGGGGTGTGTCAAGGGTGTGGCTAATGATTTTAGCACAGATATAACTGTACTGGACATGAGAAAAGATCATTTCCTAATCATTTTTTTACTCTTGAGCTTGGTTCTCTTCCTATTGAAGTAGGCTGAGCTAACAACTGGTCAGTTGCTTCTTTCTTGCAGTTCAACAGTGCAAATACTTATTAAAATTAGTTATTTAACCTTAATAAATGGGCGTGGTCAATAGATCGATGAAAATTGCATAAAATTTTCGATAATGATTCAAATCGATTCCGTAAAATATCGTTTATATCGATAAAGAATCGATATATCGCCCATCACTAGTTCTCTGTCTTTGCTTCTTTTTGTCAAGTTTTTGAAGCCACATGTCCAGTCCTTGACTCAAGCACAAAGGAATGATATAAAAGCCAACTCGAGCGGTTCCCTGGCTTAAAAGATTTCCGTGTTGATAGAAGAAGATGAAAGAAGAAGAAGAAAAAGTCTGAAGAATTTTGTAGAAATTTGAATTTGGGCCTATTCTCCAGAAATGCTCCCGCTACATTACAGTCCACCTTAAAGGTACCAGGAGAATCGCTCAGTGAAGGAGAGCTCATCTAAGCCATTTATAAGGCTGTACAACGTAAGATAAAAGGGTTATAAGTGTTTGAAAATTATAAAAACGGCCGCCATCTTGAAAAATCAACCTCAATCCTACATATAGGCTACCGCCTATATAATATCAACAGAATGAAGTACATGTACAGGTAATGGAACTGACTGTACACATAACTGCATGTACATGTATCTATGAAGCTTGTCTCTTCCTATCTATTTCTCAATCTCTCTCTTATAAAAATTACTCTCCAGTTGTAGAATGACCTGGTTGTGTATCATTGTCATTTACTACTAGTAATTTCTACTCCTCCATTCCACTGGATATCACTATGAGTGGATCTAACCTCTTGAGAAATGCAACAATTATAATAATAATAAGAATAATAATAATAATAATAATAATAATAATAATAATAATAGTAATGTTATTAAAGCAATAAGACAAGCAAACAACACGAGTAGTTCCAAGAAAGAGAGAGAGAGAGAGGAAGAATGATAAAGAGTATATTATAATCACAATATCAAGTCATAATAATATTTATTATTAATTATTATCAGTGGGTATTATTGTGTACTTTATTATCAGACAACGGTGCTTTGGGTGTTAGCAGCTGCCGATAATTCAAAATTAATCTTAGCCCCGCCCCTCCTCCTCCCCCACTGTGATTAGACCCAAAGGAATGGATAGAGTTACGATCCTCACCACCAGATCATCAGCACTAGCAGATACCTTTAAGGCCACGTTTACACTACTCCGCTCCACTGAATCCGAATAGTTTTTGCTATTACTGTTTTCAGGTGTTTACACTAGTCCAGCAGCTGCGTTTTCATTGGAACTTATCATTCGTTTATAGAAGTATCCGCTTAGGTATTCGTTTTCAAATGTCTCCGGATAAGTATCCATTTTCATGTGATTTTAGTGTAAACGAAACCCGTATCCGTGACTAAAAGTCTCCATTTTCCAATGAAAACAGAGTAGTGTAAACGTGGCCTAAAATAAAAGAACAATAATGTCTATCACTCTCTTTATGAATGTAGCATCTTGTCAATGGATTTTCAAGATGCTCCAAGATTTGGCCAAAGTCCCCATACTTTGTAATTTGTACTGGTACAGGGTATTTTGTCAAAAATTGTTAGGAGAGAATTTTCTATTTTTATAATTTTTTCTGATGCATATACATGTACTTATGTTATGTAGAAAGTTTGAGCTGATTCAGATCAAGCTTGGATTTTTTATGAATTTTTAAAGTTGTTCCAAAAGCCATATGCTATAATAAGGTTTTCAGCTCATGAAGCATAATACTTGTTAACTCACTTAGCATGCTTTGTGGGAAACCCTGATGTCCTTATCCTTATTACATGTACATGTACATATAGAAGTTTTATTTATTGTCCACTCACTTTAAAATAATTTGGTGTTAGACCATCAGCTGACGAATCAGAACCAGGCGACTGATGGAACATTCTTGATGTGGACGGTACTCTCACGTCAAGAGGTAGAGGAGTGTCTTGATAGGATATTGAAGGAGGATAATGACTACCACCTGGAGCAATACCAAGTGGTAGATTATTAGGACGTGTTGCTCCAGCTGTGTGGTGAGACAGGTATCTAAGACTAGGATCTGAGGGTCTATGCTGTGGAGGATGCTTCGGATTTAAATCCTTAAAATAAGGATCTGTGAGTCGCCTGTTCTCCAGTCTAGGCTGAGCGGTCATCGCATGTAAATTAGGCAAGAGGAGTCGGCCTGAGAATGTGGTCTTTTCACACCCACACCCACCCTGTCGGAGGATGGATAACTGGGATTCAAGGTGTCGAATTATGGCGGACATTTTGTCTCTTTCGTTTGCTAGTACATCTCTCTCCATGACAATGTGTTTGAGCTGTTCTTGTAAATGGGCAAAGTGCTTACGAGAATTAACCATTTCTCTTTGGGACTTGTTATGTTTTTCCATTACCATTATTAGTAGAGTTATTTAACTTTTTGCATTCTCTTTCGGCACATTTAGTAAACATAGACTAGTTCTCCTAAAAACAAAAAACAACAACATGACATTATACATGTACATGTATGTTTGTTAGATGTACATGTACCGTATTTCCTTAAATAAAAGCCCAGGCGTCTATTTCCTAAAATGGCATTTGGACCTCAAAAAAATTTTTTTAATAAAATAAAACTTGGGTCCAGAGCAGGATTCGAACCTGGGACCTCATGCACTTGACTTCAGGAACTTAAGGTAGTACTATAGTTCAGTATTAAGGTAGTATTTATAGTTCAATTCTATTGCTAGTTTTGCTACCCCAACATTTATTCGCATGCGGCTTTTAATTAAGGAAATACAGTATGTACTTTGATTGATTAATATACATCAAATCTTGTAATACCACACCCACACTAATTACTCCGTCAATCACCTTATCCTAATAATAGTAATAATATTAACAATACATTAATTACATCAGTATTACATCATTTGTTTCTTTTAGTTTATTAATCAGTAGTCATGTACCAAACGTCTCTGGAGACTGAGACAGAATCATTACTTGATGATCTATTGCTCGTCTCAAACCATCAGACCAACCTGTGATCTCGTGATCAGTGAGTAGTGTCACGTGACTGTATACCTTGTGATATATCAGGTAGATTGATTGCTTCTGATCCTAACTGATAGAGATATATAAAGAGATAGTGTTTGGATTATTTACTTCTTCTAATAGTCTCTCAAAGTCAATGTGTGTCTGC